ACAACTAAAGCCTCCAAGTGCAGCACTAACACCTCTGCACCTCACACAGGAGGGTCCCCATGCTGCTTACACAGCCCTGCATGACCTTTACCACAGCAAAGACACACTGTGCGTCAAGTGCAACACGTTCCCCAGGACACCCAGTTCCTTTTCTGAAAACCTGAGTTCTAGTCAGTCAGCACCAGCCTGGATGTGGATGGCATGGCTCTCTCCTCCCAACAGGACTATGCACTTGTAGACTTCTCCCAACCCACTTGTAGGGCTTGCTGGGACTCCTGTACTGATGCCCTTCAGGTACTGCCCACTGCCCCCAACCCAGAATCATCAAGGGCTGGCTCAGGGCCTGCTCTGTCCCACCATCCAGATCATTAGCTAAGACATCCAGTAGCATCAAGTTCCAGTAACAACCCCTAAGCAATGCTACTCGTAATTAGCTGCTGATTGAGTTTATCCTGGCCCGTCACAGCTCTTTGTATCCAACAGATCAGCAAAGCTTCTATCCCCCTTACAGTTTACTTGTCCAAACCATACCTTTCCAATACACCTCCTACAACAGTACTGTTGAATGTCAAGGTGAAGGACATTCATTTTTTTCATCTGGTGATGCTCACTTAGCTTGGTCAGACATAATTTGCCCTTGATAAATCTGTGTTGACTGTTCCCAATTATGTTATTGCCCTTCAAGTGCTTGGATGCAGTGTTGGACACAACTTTTGTGAGGATTCACATGACAATCTTCCTGTGGAAGTCCTGTCAGACTGACCAATCCCTAATTCCTCAGTGCTCTCTTCAAAGAACAGTATTACCCTCACCTTTCCTCAGCCATCAGGACCATCCCCCAAGTGCCAAGTACCATCCAAAGGTCGGATGGACAGCAGGCAGCTAAGGATGACAGCAAAATGGTCTGTTTTAAATTTCAGGCTATATTTTATGAACAGTGGTAAGTATTTTGAATAAATTCTGGTTTGGAAGCATTTGGTTTTGACCTACAGATTTAGGAGGGCGGTATTTTAAAACAACATCCCCCAAAGTAGCTGTCCAATTGTAACAGTATCAACCAAGCTGTGAGGACGGGAGAAAAAACTAAGAACTTGGGTAACAATCTACACAAAACTAACATGGTGATGCCACCCTGTGGCTGCAAGATGAAACTTCTTCCGAATAAACAGGATTTATGTTTTATCCTGTCTCTAATCAGATTAAAGTGGATTTGTACACAAGAAGTCACTGGTTGTTTTCAGTACTTCAGACCTGGTTTAAGAGTATGTATGTAGAACAGATTAAGGCAGTACCAACTTACCAAGTGGATATCTGGCTCTACTACCTACAAACATGTTTGTCAGGGAAAGAAGAAAGGAGAAACACATCTGTATCTTATGGAATAAGTGTCAACAAAAACACTGAGAAGGGGATCGTGACTTCAACTATCACATTTGAATAAAACAACGTAAGAAAATACAATTAAATATATCCTAAAGTTTAAAGTAAATCCCACAACTATCAACTGTTTCAGCCATAATAACCTCTGAAAGAGATAAGTAATATAACATCTATCCCTATATTTCAATGGAAATCACAACCATGAGAACTGAAAACTTTTATTAAAAGTGTAAGCTATAGTAGTTTGCTTTCAGCTGAGGCTTTTCCTTAAGGAAAAAACAAAATAACAAAAGCCCAGAATACACAACACTAGCAACTATCATTAAAACTTATATTACAAGGAGAGCAGTTAAAAATGCAATCAACTATAAAAAGTATTGTATTTCAATATCTTTAGAAATAAAGTATCTATACAAAAGAAGTTTTAAGTATAACTGTGATAATTATTAAAATATTATAAAGCAGTATTTTCCCTCTCACTCTATTGCAATTTTATGAATATAATAGAAAGTAACATTTTAGAAATGTTTTCTTCCATCCACATGCAGTGCTGATCTTTGAATTACATAGCTTTGAATTACATTAATGTTTTCTGCAGCCTCTTGTTTCCTTTTAATAGATTAACCAATTTGCTTCAATACAAAAGTTCAAAACTTTGCTACCTTTCCTTGTAAGATTCAGTAATGAAAAACCCTAAAGAGAGTGGAAGAACCAGCACAAGGAAACTCAACATCAGGGTACACATGGTCTTTCTGAGCCCTACCTGTCCTCAGGCAAAACCCTGCTGGAAGAGAGATGCTCTCTTGGAAGAGTTTCCCACCAACCCTCTCACTTGGCTACACAACCTTTGTGCTGCTGCACACAAAGGACTAAGCTTATTTGTGTAACCACCAAATCTGATCTCTCACCAAGAACACAACACTACTATAAGGAACACATGTAATGGATAAATGCTATTGAAGGAGATAACCTAAGTGCATTTGATCTTTTTACTTAAGTTCTTCAGAATATTGTGTGGTTTTGTTTTAACACAGACTGGAGTTATTGGTATCACTGAAACCACATACATTTCTAGTATTTACTCACATATTAGGCTAAAAGGAAATTATTTTATCCTGATCTTATCAGTTTACTTCCTTTCAGACATAAAACTGTGCTCTTTGAGACGTATTTCACCAGTAATAACACACTGATCTCAGAACAAGTTTCTCATCCATCTGTAAAATCATTACTGCAGGGTATTTTCACCCATCAATACACTGGCTTCTCAGAGGATCTCCTTCCTTCTGAAAACCAGGCACACTTTGGTTTTTGACAATTTGCACTGAATAGGTGGGGAGGAACATAGGATAACAAAACCAAAGCACAGTATAAAAACCAGTTTCCTGCATAATTAATAAGCCAGACAATTTCTCTGGCTCTCCTACACAGTCCTAGGAATACCTGAAGTACAGCTCTATGACCAGTGACAAGGGACAAGGCCTTGTGTGTAGGAGTTAATAAAACAAAGAGAAAAATCTTGGCCCTCTCACTCAAATTCTTCCCTTCCCGCAGGTTTTCTCTGTAGGCAATATAAAGATTCAAAACCAGTCCCCAGTCCTACTACCTCCCTTTGTTCATATAAGAACCACAGTCCTAGAAAATGAACATTCCTCAGGAGTGAGATTTGAGTCTTTTGGGAGATACAAGCACATGAGAAGCATTTTTTCCCACCTTCTGAAGCCAGATGAGCAAATGAGCTTGTAACCACTAAAAAAACCCATCTCTTAGATATACGATGCACCACCCTGATGTATGAGCTGACCACACTGTTCTGTGCTCCTCCTGCCCTGCTCCTCCCAGCCTCTAGACATTCTCTTCAGCTCTCAGGCTTTTTTCTTCTCCCAGTTCTTCACTCTGCATGGGATACCTGTCCTAATCAACCACCTCCCAAGGGGCAGGCTAGAGGATAAGTAGTATGAACTTTCAGCTATTAGATCCATGTTATTGTTCACAGAGGATGGCTTTCTGTGGAATGCAGCAGTGACTATACAAGAAAAAAAACCCCATCAACTGCTTTGAAACATAAATCATTTGTAAACAATGTGTCTCATCTCTCCAAAAGCCTAGAAGCTGAACAGTATTTTCAGTCTCTCACCCTTGGGAGAGGAGAAAAAGCAGATACACACTTGAAGGTTTCAGTTTGAAAAACATGCCTGAAAGAAAAATATTTTTGTCCACTGCTTAGAGCTTCAAATGAAACAAAGTCAAGTTTTAAAATTATTTCCTAAAACTAACATTTAAATGCAGTAACTCACAGATTCTTCCCATTTATAAAGCTCAGCTTTGTTTTTAAGAGGATTGCCACAGGAAGAACATTTTTATCTGCTGATGTACCCAAAGCCACACAACATGAAGCTATGAAGTACTGTTCAGCAATAGCTGTTGCCCCACCCTTTGCTAAAGCCTTCACTGTTGTGTTTGGTTACTTGCAGTATTCTGAAATGTAAAAGTACTCAGCATGTTTTCAACAGCATGTCAAATAAAGATGTCCTCACAAGAGTAGAAAGTCTCTCAACTTGTATTGCTAAGGCCTTTCAATTCCTTCAAATAGAAATTGCTAGAGGGGAAAGGAAAAGGTAAAAAAAAAAAAAGGCTTAAAAAAAAAAAAGGGCTAAAAAAAAGTTATTCCACAGAAAACGTACTAATCAGTTATGAGGACTGGGAATAATTTGTGAAAAAGGGCATTCTCTGAGTGCCATGAGAATTTCTGTTGTCTCATATCTGTTCCTTTTTTCCTACAGTCTGATATCATCCACTTAAGTCATAGTTTTCCTGAATTAATGAACACTTTGTCTTATGGTGGTTTTGCAAGGTGAAAAGGCTGCTGTTTTTTCATTTTTAGAAACAGCAAAAATAATAAAATAAAATTACTTCAAGGGGCTTTCCAGAAGTAGTATTTAATGAAAGTCTCACTCCTACAGCACAAATAATACTAGGCAAACTGGTCTCTGTTTGAGATGAGGAATGAGCTAGTTAGTAGAGACATAGACTTGAGTGCTGACAGTTTTTCAGACCACTTCTTGAGTGTATTTTGAGTGGGTATCAGGACAATATAAAGTTCATAGGGTAGGTGATCACTTACACAAACAAGCTGCTTTCCCAGAAAGACCTTGCAAGGAGAGTCCATCAAAATGGTCTTTGACACTTAACTTTTTGGACAAGCTTTTTTGCTCCAAGCCTAGTATACTGTTGTCCTTTCTATCAAAGTTACTATGGCATGAACAACTAAAACCATTCCAGCTAACAGTAACCCTAAGAAGCAGAGCAATTTTTCCAAAAAATAATCAGAATTCAGCTAATTCCCTATTTGAAAAACTTTCAGGACAGGCTGATTTTCCTAGTTAGCTCACAAGAAAAAAGCTGTATGTCTAGAATAAATTTACCCTCCCTTGAAAGCACACAAGGAGCAACTTGATCCCACAAAGCTGTGTCCTAACATGAGCAACAAGTGGAGAGACACTGAATGAATATTCTGAATTCTGCACCACATAAGGAACACAACACAAAGTGGCTCCTCCAGATAGGCATATCATAACTAGTGAAAAGGAGAAAGCTGGCTCAAAATAATCTAGTAATCATCAAAATATAAAAGTTTATTTAGCTACAATATTAAAAAGTACAATGTACAGATATAAAACATAGAAATTCCATAATTAATTCACATGCTAAAAGGATTAACTGATCAGCCATAAGAAGAAGACTTCATGAAATTATGGACATCTCAGCCATAAAGATAATTCATCAAGTTTCAGACTGGAAATATTGAACAGCCATTGCAGAGAACTTGCTCTCCCACATCACCGTAACTAGGAAAAAAAACCAAAAAGAAAAAAGACCAAAAGAAACATCAGTTTGTCAACTGTTTCTGGAACACAATAAAGAATGCCATCCTATTCCATTATCAGTGGTAACCATGGGACTCCAACATGACTCAATACTCATATTCCAACAACACTCAATATTTATTTATATCATAGAACTGTTATCAATGCTGGCAAAAACTTAAGATTACTCCCTGCGTGTGTATTCACTGGCCAACATAATACACTGCTGGCAGGAAAGCAAGAGGATGTTTTGCCTTCTAGAACTACTTCACACAGGCATGTTATTCTCCATGTTTCAGACAGCTTTACTGCTGCTAAAGCAACGTGAGGAGTTCCAAGTCCACCAAGTGGATAAGCTAGGTATCTTCTTGGGTCTTCACATACTACAGCCAAATTTCAGGGCATATACAACTAAAATAAGCTTAAAAATTCAAAAGGCACTTACTCAATAGTGGAGCACAAAGAACAGGTAAGTGTGTTACAGTAGCTGCAGAGCCTGCTGCAGTTCTGGCAGACAAACTGGTCGCACTGTGTACATGCTTCCTTAACACCAGCGGTTCTTACACACGATGAACAGGCTTTGGAAACGCCCACGGGCGGAACTGCGAGGGAAAAGACGCGGCTAAGAAGAGAAGTACTTCACAGCAGAACAGAGAAAGCACAGGGAACCCCAGAGAAGGGCAGAGCGCGGCTCCTCCAGGCCGCGCTGCAGCTACAGGCGGCAGCACCGGGCAGAACACACCTGCAGGCCGTACCTGCAAGGCCTTCCTAAACCCACTGGTGAAGCTCAAATCTTTTTCCGAAGGCAGACACAGCACCGAGGAGGCTCTCTCCCTCACACACACACACACCCACACACACACACACACACCCCCAGCGGTGCCCGGCAGCCCCCGAGCCCGGCTCACCCCCCGGACCGCGGCCACTCACCCTTCGGGGCGGCGGGGCCCCTCAGCAGCCTCCCGCCCTGCCCGATCACCAGCTGCCCGTTCCACCG